GGGCCGCGGGCGCCGGGGCCGCCGGGCGAGGGCGCGCTGTTCATCAACGACTATTCGGACGGGCCCTGCACCTTCGCGCAGCTCGAGGAGCTCCGCGGCGAGCGCGGCCACGAGATGTTCGTCATCGACCGCTCCAAGCCGCTCTTCGCCGAGCGCCTGGCCGCCCGCGGGACGCGCTGCTGAGGCCGGCGCGCGCTGATGACGCGCCGCGGAGGGCCGGGCGGGCGGGCTCGCTCGCGCACGCGCCGGTCCGTCAGTAAAGGGTGGAAGCTGCGCAGTGTGCGGCGAGCCTTGTGTGGGCCCTGGGGCGGGGGACCCCGGCTCTGCGGTCCTGGGGTGCAGACGGAGGGTGGCGAGGGAGGCTCCCAGCACCCCCACTGAGGCCCTCCAGGAAAGTCCTCCCAGAGCCATCCCAGCCGCCAGCTCGGCAGGGCCCGACCAGCCCGCCGGCCTCCTGGAGGCTGGAGGCTCCTGGGTCAGCCCACGGGGCAGGGCGACGGGCCACGGATACGCCCGCAGGGACTGCGATGCTGCTAGGGATGCCCGGGAAGGGGAGGGAGCGGCAGACAAAGACAGCTGTTACCCAGTATGCATGCTGGGGTGACAGCAGAGCCGAGGACAAGTCACTCTGATCAATTAGGACAGAAAAAACAGCCACAAACTTAAGTTCCAAACGCACTGCACATTTGTACCTTAAGGACACCCTCTGGGCCCAAAGCCTAGCCGACGGGGGGTCTCCTGGGCCCCAGGGCAGGGAGAACCTTGAGAAGCCCGAGAGTGCATGGGGACCTTACCCTCCTTGAAGCAGGCCCCTGTCCCAACTTCAACCCCAGAACAGTCTGCTCTTGAGAAGGGCCCAAAGGGCTCTCTCTCAGCTCCCAGCTGGGACCCCAAGAACATTCCACAGAGAGGACCAGGATGCTGGAAGGCAGCCAGGTGCGGCTAAACCAAGCAGGGCCCTGCAGGCCCGTAATCCAGCCTCAGGCCCACAGACGGTCAGCCAGTCAGGGGAGCAGATGCAGGGCAAACTGCCCAGAGCGCTGCACAAAGCATGGGGAGGCTCATGGTGCACCCAGAAGCAAGAAAATCAGACACCAGTGTTTTTCTGTCAGGTCTCCAGCAAGGTCCTAGCAAAGGCTCTGCCTACCCAAGTGGGGGAGGAGCCTCCAGCAGCCCTGGACCCCAGGACAGCCTGTCTCACCCAGAGCTCAGAGGTCAAAGGCTAAAGTAGTCTGCAGCTAGGCGCCCATAGATGTCTGTGGTCCAGAGCACATGGGCACGGCCTGTGGTCACCAGCAATTGGTGCAACTCAGCCTCCACACGGGCAAACTTCTCCTCGTTGATGGAGGCCTCCAGCAGGACAGAGGCAGGCGGAGGCCAGGGCAGACCCTCGTAGCAGTCCACAGGAAAGGGGTGCACCACTGTGCGCAGCTCAGCCTGTGCCGCCGAGTCCCGCAAGAGCTCCTTGAGGCCCACCATGGACAGCGGGTTGCCGTAGAGACCGAGGTAGCGGAGGCTGGCACAGCGGGTCAGCACAGGGAGTGTGGCCAGTAGCTGGGTATCAGCGAGCTGGCACTCAGTCAGCTCGAGATGCAGCAGCGTGGCTGCTGCCGCCTGCAACAGACCCTGGAAGGGCTCCAGCTGGCTGCCAGACAGGTCATTGCCACTTAGGTCCAACTTCTTGAGGTGGACAGCATGGGGACTCCGTGCCAGGAAGCGCAGGTCCTCAGGCAGCAGGGCACAGAAGGCCAACTCCAGGCTCTCCAGGGGGCTCTGCAGGGTGCTGCAAGGGACACAAAGGGTCACGAACAGGCAGGGCCAGGGGAAGGTCTCAGGAGGGGAAAGGAGGCGAGGGGCAGGGTAATAGGAGGGCCTGCTCACCTGAGCAGCTGGTCCAGCCGCCCCGAGAGGAGAGAGGAGCCCATGCTGAGCTCCCGAAGACAGGTGAAGCGACCCATCTGGGCCAGAAAGTATCGGAAGTTGTCCTCGCCATCAACGGAGGGCTGCCGTGAGTCCCCGTGCACATAGTGCAGCCGCAGGCTGGCCAGGTGCTGGAAGCGGGCCACATGTGGGATGATGACGGACAGGCCACGTAGCCCCAAGTTGTTGAAGCGCAGGTCCACGCGGCGCAGGCAGCCCGCGTCTAGAAGCTGCAGCAGGGCCACGGTGTTGCGCATGGGCAGGTCCTCAGCTCGCAGGTCCCGGCAGCAGAGCCGCAGTGGGCTGCCTACGCTACTGCGGAGCGCCTCCCGCAAGAACGCATAAGAGGCCCGGTTCACCCGCAGGTCCACACGCACCTCCACAGGAACAGGGGCCAGCCCGGGCTCCGAAGTCCCGCCCTGCTGCTGTGCGATGCATGTGCGGGCCACAGCTGCTGTGCAGTCCCACATGCTCATGGTGCCGGGGTCCTGCTCCACGCCATCGTCCAGGAGGCCCGTCATGTCCAGCACCCTCAGTGCGTGCTTCCTGGGAGCACGGGTGGGCTGAGGCAGGAAACAAGGGAGCAGAGCCCACACCCACTCCCAGACACCTTGGGACAGGAGCATAATGCCTGTTCCTGCACTGAGCCCTTGTACCAGCCTGGAAACTCTTGGGGGACCCTCTTTGCACCCCCCAGGCCTGAGGGCCCCTCAGGCGAGCCCATACCTGCAGAGGGGCTGCGTGCCGGCCTCGGTCTCTGGGATGTGGAGCCGGGCTGTGAGCCCCAGAATCACAGCCTGCATGCTCTCTGTGCTGGGCCGCTCCTGCAGCAGGGCCCGGCTGCAGTGGGCACACTCCTGCAGCAGCTGCTGGAAGCTGAGCAGTGGGAAGGGCCACGTGTGCACCAGCTCGCGCAGCACAACAGTCTTCTTGTCCATGAAGGCCACCTTAAACAGCAGGGGGAAGAGCTCGCGCGGCAGCAGGGGCAGGGCCTGGCAGGCAGCTGGCTGGCACTGGAGTACCTGCCGCGTGCTCAGGAACACAAGCGTGTGCATGGTGCTGGGCCAGGCAGGAGGCCACCTGCAGGGAAGGGCTCTTCAGCAGGGAGGACACCCCAGAACATGGCCTGGCCACAGCCCCGTCCATGCACTGGTAGTGGGAGAGCCCAGCACGGGGCCTGGCGCAGAGCTGGTGCTCAGTGGAGGACCTCATCACCTAAGAGCAAGTGCTAGGTGCCTAGCAATGGGCTGGGCAGAGTAGAAAGGGGAACAAGGCCACCTCCCAGTCCCTGCCCTCTAACAGCATGGGGACGTCTTTAGGGAAACAAAATCATCAAGCAATATGTAAATAGCAAGGCACCAGAAGTGACCAGCTCATCTGGGTATGCTTTTGATGGCTGTTGGTCTGCAAGGGCCCCCGTCTGTACTTCAAGCTTCCCAAATCACAAAGCCACTTATCAAAAATGCTCCCTTCCTGAAAAGTAGAATAAAGCTCAGGCTCCTGCACTAACACAGAAGCAGTAGAGGGGGTGGGATGTTCCTGGGGGCCGGGAGCTGCATCACAGTTCCCTCCCCTCCCCTCCACAGAGGCTCTTGTGGCTCTTAGGTTTGCAGCACAACAAAGAGAAGCTGGAAGGACAAATGCCACTTAATAAACATCAACCAGGTAAAAAGGACCAGCACCCAGGGAACACTGAGTCCAGACAGCTTGAGTAATCCAAGCCCTCAACATGAGCCCCTGTCTTAACTACTATCATCCAGGAGCACTACCAGGCAGGGAGACCCCTGCAGATTTACAGGAAGAGAAAAAACAACTCTCACCCAGGGAGGTTCTTGTCACCTGTCTAAACATCTTCCTCTTCCCTGGAGAACCATGTTGAGAAACCAAGTCTCAAACCCATGGGATTCAGAAGGCCCCAGTCCAGGGATTGCTCAGAAGGGTAGAGGCCGCTGCCAAAGGGACATCCAAGCTGACAAGGGGCACACAGGAGATGCCTGAGGCCACAGGCAGCAGCAACACTTAGCCAACTTACTGTGCACCAGGCACCTCATCCTCAAATCTGCCTCCCGGTCATCCCCCTGAAAACAGATTAGAAAACCTAGATCTAGGCCTCGCCCGCCCAAGGTCACAGCCTGAGTGATGAGCTGAGGCAGGGGGCAGTCTGGCCCCAGAGCTCCTGCTCTCGAGGACCTCATACACAACAAGGCCTTAGGGCACTGGCTCCTGAGAAACCCCGGACGCCAACCCTCGGCCTCGCTCTGCCTGGGGACAAATCTCGCGAGGACGATTCATACCTCGCTGTGACAGGACAGACCAAGCGAACACCTGTCACGAGAGGAAAGGAAAGCAGCCAGTGTGGTCACCGTGGGAGGAGCCTCTGTGCGGTGGCTGCCGCCCCCTCCCGCGGCATGCGGCGCCCGGCGTTTCCCCGAAGACGCCCCCGCCCGCCTCCTCCCGGCCTCAAGCCGCGGGAGGCGCTGAACCCACCGCCCTCCGCCTCCCGGGCGGGCTCTGTCCCTCCAAGACGGCGCGTCGCCCCGCGGCAGAGGCCGCTCAGGCCGGCGCGGGCTCCCGGTCCTTCCCCAGCCCGCGGCCGCCCTGCCCGGGCTCCCGCCCACCTTCCCGGGC